ACTTCACCAAGCGACCGGTTGCGACGAGAAACACATGAAACAGCAAAAGCTTCATGGGGCTCTTCTGCAAGGGGAGGTTCATGCTCAACCACATGTTCAGTGTTGAGGGTCTCGACGACCTTGACAGCCTTCGTCTTCTTTGGCGGACTTTTCCTCCCAAGGCCCGCTCCAGGCTTGCTGCACTCCGGATCGCCAGCCCAATGTCCAGGCTGACCACAGTCAAAGCAGGGATGCTTGCCTGAAGCCTTCTTGGCACCAACTTTGGATTTTGCATCTGTCGTTGATGCTCCAGCTTTCCCATAGCCGCGGTCCTTCTTGACTTCGGCCAGCTTTTGTCGTGCTTCTCTCATCGTCAGCAATGCTTCGGCCGCTGACTCGACGGTCTCCTCAACATCTTGCAGCAAGGCGGACTCGACGCCTTCTTCCACAGCCTCCTCAATCTCGGTCGCCAAGATCTCCGCCTCAGCTTGCAACACTTCCTCCAGGTTTGGAGGATCTGCCTCTTCAGCCTCCTGCTCATCAGCAATGAGCTCCTCTTCGTCTGGGCGCTCAGCCACAAAGGCCTGTCGGCCAGAACCGAAGGGCTTCCGGTGGAAGGGCTTGCTTGAGGCATAGGTCGAACTCGAACGACCTGAAGCAAACGAAGACACGGAAGGCGCCGAAGAGGATGGTGCTCTCGAAGACGGTGTCCTCTGCTGAGCCAGGAACCGCTGCATCAAGGGCGCTCTAGGCGGATGATGGTCACCAAATGACTTCTTCGCCGCCAAGGGATCCGAGGCATGGAGGTCACGGAACAAACGAAGCACCTCGACCTCAGTGTCCTCGTAGGTTTCCTTGCCAGCGCTGTTTCCAACAGCTGTTGACGAAGTGCATCAAGGCCCAACAACTTTTGCTTCAAGAACCAACCAAGCTCAGCGCTGGGCAATGTCACGCCCTCCATCCGCAGCTCTGCAACTGCAGACCGGAAGCGAGTGCAGAACTCGCTGATCCGCTCACCAGGCTTGCGCTTCAGCTCCAGGTAGAAGGTGTTCCGGAGGTCACCACGCTTGTCCAGCTGGGTCTTTCCATTGATGCTCTCAAGAGCTTTCAACAACTTGTTCAAGCCGGCCAAGGGATCCTCGGGGGTGATGATCACGTCCTCATCAGTCTCGGGGTCCTTGGCTGTCACCGGCTGAAAGGCCAGTTCAGCTGGCGTGAACTCCTCACCACGCTGGCGCACAATGCCTGATTGGCGCAACAACCAACGAGCAGCAAGGTTGTACTTCTTCGTGCTCTGCACGTCCAATGCTTCCATCCACCAAGGCATCTCGCGGGAGAAGGCCCGCCAACTATTTGGATCTCCGTCCCATGTCGGGACCCGACTCCATGCTCCGGCATTCTTGTCCTCCTCCGCCATGGTCAGTTGACCTCAGGATCCTCAGGATGCGAGGCACTCTAGCTTGACCGAAGGGCGAGGATCTATCGAATTCCTCGGAAGAGCTGATTCTCCCTGTCCTGAATCGCTGTGGCCTGATCCGCCAAGATCACCCACCTCGATGGCAAGGTCGAAGGGCTCCGACGTGCAAAAAGGGAAACAACCAAGGCAAGCGGAAGTGGAGCAACGCAGCGCAGCAGCAGGCTCACAACGCCAGGCCCAAAACGAAAGGCTCCGGTGCCACTGTGAACGGTCGATGGCGCACACGACCGGCCGAACGCGAGGGCTTTTGCCGGACCACGAAAGGTCGTAAACAAATGGGTCAAGATCTGTGCAAATGGCCGCGGGTGCAAGACGCTCAAAAGTCATGCCCTGCCAAGAGCTTGCTTTCTCATCTTTGAACAGCGACCTCCCAGAGCCCAGAAGAACCGGTAAGATCGCCCACAATAACTTGATGGCGGGTTTACTCTTGTTTGCCGCGTGCAGACAGCAAGCGGGTATCCAACAGCTGAGTTGTGAATAAATCAATCAAGAAGCTAGGCACATGAAGACAATACATTATTTGGAGCATCTATGTCTTAGACATCCGCCTGCACAAGAATGGGCACCTGCGGGAGAGGACATAAGTTTCAAACGGCGACAAAAGGTGGGTGACAGGAGTGACAAGGGGTGGCTCTGAGAAACTGCTCAGGAATATCAATCCGAGACGAAGGATTCGGTGATGGAGCATTCGATGACGAGAAAGTTCAAGCGGAAATAAACTATCGAGATCATTCACCAGTCTGAAACTTCGCATAACAAACTTGCCTTTGAACAAGGACGCTACTAGGGGCTCCTGGCATCGCTACTAGGAGCATGGACGCTACTAGGGGCTCCTGGCCGTACTACTAGGAGCAAGGACGCTACTAGGAGCATGTTCACCCGTTTTGCTCGTGTTGCGCCAATCATTCCTTCCGGGTCTTCCAGGTCGGCGAAGTTGCCGTGGAGCAACTTCTATGGGTTCAAAAAAGAGTTGTCTGATAGGGTGATAGGTGAAAAGGTCTCCAAGGTGGTGGTACAGTGTAACATAATGACTTGCTCGTTTGAGATCCTTTGATCTACAAAGTTCGGATGACTTTTGGGAATTTGGTGGAGGCTTTCAATTAAACCGTGCCAAACTTTGACAAAATGGCCGCAGTTGGTTGGATGGTTTTGAGCACGTCAAGGCCTTGCTCTTCAAGACAACCTTTCCCAGAACAATAAGCTACTAGTACTAGTATCAAACGGCATCGCTACTAGGAGCAAGGACGCTACTAGTAGCTCCTGGCCTTACTAGTAGCAAGAAGCCACTAGTAACAAGACCTATATAGCTTGAGAGAATTCAGCTATATATTCTGTATTGTTCACGTCCCGATGGTTGTTATAAGTTACAACTGTATAGGATAGGACCGTTCCTAGGCACGTAGCGTCGTGTTCACAGGAGTTCAGTCTGCATAGCTTCTTGTTCCTAGTAGCATTCCTGCTACTAGTAGTATGGCCAGGAGCCCCTACTAGCGTCCTTGCTCCTAGTAGCGATGCCAGGAGCCCCTAGTAGCTTCTTGTTCCTCTACTTCTTTGGTTGACTGTTAGTTTAACATTCCAGATTCATCAGTACGTTGCAAAGATACGGGTATCATCAGGGTAAAGTACTTCAGCAAGGTGAATTAATGCAATTTATTGTTCCTGTTGCTTCGGTTTATGCCTCTGCAGTGTCCAACATATCAAACTAGTGAGGAAATACACTGAAAGCGGGCAGCCCTAGTGTATTCCTGAGTCTTGCATTCTATACGCTGACAACAGGTTTTCATGAGCAAGGCGGAATCTGGGGCCTTCGAACTAGCGCAATACTGTACTAGGTGAAGCATGCCGGGGGAGTCTTGCAGCACAATACTTGTAAACACTTTTCTAGGGTTGAGCTTTCTAGGAACCAAATCATTGGCGTGAGAGCTTCTTCAAGAAGCTCCCCGCACCCTCAGGCGGAGGGAGCTTCATTCAAGAAGCGTGAGCTATCCTGCGTCCTAGCTGGGAGCGAGCTAGTAGCTTACTTCTCCCTTACTTAATGAAGTAGGCGCCGACTTAGTTAAAGACTGGCTGAAACAAAAACAACATTGAATGTGGCTGTTCTAAGATGGAGTCCAAATTGCGTTTGTTGGATCTCTTGTATATAATGTGGAAAAAGGCTAGGTGCTCCATAGCTTTTTGTAGACAACCAGGTCAAGTTCTTGAATGGTAGCTAATTATGCATAGGGCCGCCTCCCTCAAGCAGCGCGGAGTTCTCTTAGACGAGATCCAAGTCTCTATCTGCTGGTTTCCCCCAGCGTGTTTCTGCAGCCACGCCAGGTAGCTCTTGGTGGACAACCATTGCTATTTCCGAACATAGAAGTGTGTCGGTTTAAATGTTTTATTCGTATGAGTCCTTTGCAATCAACTGCTTCTAGCTCTTGGAGAAGCGAGCGTTCTATGTCGATTTCGCTAAACAGTTGTTTGCCATTTTTGAAAACACATATGCTTCAAGTTTTTCCATTTGTTGTTGACTCCTTCAGTTTGTTTGCGCTGGTGGGATTGCTGTCGTGGTGTCAGCTGCAGCGTCAAGTAAAATGATTCGAAGCCTTCTGCGGTGGTCCAGTGGTCCAAATACCCTATTGACCCCTGTTGCAGTTGTACCCTATTGTTTTTTAAGCATTGTTCACGTCTCAATGAAGAAAGTGTAGATTTGTAGTCGCTAAACTACCTTGACGGACATGTTTTGGATTGTTCGGAATGTTCCTAACCTACACTTCTCCACTGGCCACCGTGTGGTTTGAGTCAAAGAGTTTCAATGGACATTGCATGCATACTTTGTTTCGCCCTTCCATCGATCGCTGAACAGAATAGACCAAAGTTGCGCATGCGTGGGCAAGGTTGTGATGGTGGTACCTCTGTATGTGGCAAGGAGAGGAGGCCGATCTTCAAGTTCTATGTGCCAAGCAAAACTTGGACGAAAGGAATCTGTTAAGTTCTCCTGGTCAAATTGATACGTTTCTACAACTAGTTTTTGCCAATTTGTATGGTCTTCCTCGGGCAGCTATTCCACAAGTCTGCTGGCTTAATGTCCATTCCATTTTGGTCAACAAGGTATCATATGTTGAGTCCTGATCTGCAAATTTGTGAATGTGGAGCACGCGTTGCTGTGATGTTGATGCGGATGGGCGAAGTATGTAATGTTAGGGAAATATGTTTGCCATTAGCCGCCGCCACATCACTAACATCTAAACCACCTGTTGATTATGCTATATATATATATTACATATACATCATCACTCTTGTTCCAACAATTTCAAAAATAATTCTGGAATCGTCATCACTTGGTGGCATCGAGAATTACATTACCCGTCAATGACTGAAACACACCTATACATATACATATACATATATATATATGCAGGAATGGTGGGTTTTCTTCTGTGTTTCTGGGTTGACTTTCCTCTCTTGGACAAAGGCATGTGAAAAGGGTGATTGGAGACGTTGGTTGGGCATTGATGTTGTGTTGGCGGTCACTAAGAGAATTTGCAAACTTGAAGCAAGCCACCGGTGCATCGTCCCAGGCACGACCTTGGCAATAACACACGAAGAACACAAACTCATGCCGCATGCATCCGCATGCCATGAATGGCTCACGCTCTCAAGGAACCGCTTCGTAACACCCTGAAACAGAATAGCCTGAATGTACATTGTACAATCTTCTTCTTTTGTTCTTCTTTGAGGCTCATGGGATAGGTCTTTCAAACAGGTTCCAGGCAAAGTCTTGCAACTTCCCTCTCCTAGAAGAATTGGACTGGGAAATGACGTGCCAACCTGTGAGGGGAGTTTGATTACGGCCCGCTCCCTCAAGGTGTCACGAAATGGGAGAATTTTATGAATTCTTGCTTTCCAAGCGACCCAAAGGCGAAGGCGGATCCAACTTATTGGAGGTTCGAAGGGTCCGTGATGTGAACTTCTCTGTTGCAGCTGGCGGCGGAAGGGCGGTGCGTTTCATCAGCCAGGTTTGCATTCCATGCACTTAATAGCAAGAATGCTACTAGTAGTAAGGCCAGGAGCCCCTAGTAGCTTCTTGTTCCTAGTAGCAATGCCAGGAGCCCCTAGTAGCGTCGTTGGTTCAGTTAGTTGGGGAAGTCTCCATAAGTTCCGGGGATCTCAGGGAGAAGTTGTCTAGTAACGGATGCAAACACATGTAGCCTAAAGAGGACCTACAGGTAAGTTTGCGTTCTTTTCAAATTCTGGTAAGAGAAAGGACAACACAAAAGGAAGGAACAATCAAGTGATCCCCATTCTGAAAAGCGATTTGGAAGAAGGCAGGGCACATGTATTGACAAAGTATCTTGAACAACGACATGAGCACTTTGATTGATGTAGGAATGTGGCTGAGCTGTGCTGCTTCTACTTTCACCTTTGGCTATTGGGTTGCACAGCCGGGTTGAGGCGCATGGACGCTGTCGCAGTGTGGCCAGTGGCTTCTATGAAGCACGTGCATGTTGCATCCTTCTTTGGATTTGAGGTGCTCTCTTCAGCTGGTGCATCTTACAGAGTTTTGCCGAGTTTTGCGTGACCCCTCCTCCATTGCCTCACTTCCTCTGCTAGGTTTGCAATTTGATTTGTTTCTGGCCATCATTCTCGACAGCGCTGCCCGTATTAAGCCATGCGGTGGTTAGACTGTCATGGGTGAGCTCAGAGACTGCCAATCTTCAGGGGTGTAGTGAAGTGTGATTGGACAACTTTTCTCTAGCCATAACTCTGTATCTAAAGCGTGTTCTTGCAAAAGCCAAATCACTCGACCACCTGTGCATTCCGATTGCAACCAGCAATGTTGCTTAATACGCTCTCTGCTTATTAGTAGACTGTACTACCTGCTTGTGCAGGCACCTGCGCGTGTGCTTGCCCTCCTCTCTAGCAAAGAAAGGCGAGAATATATAGTCGTAAAGGGTAGCATTCAGAAGGTGAGCTGTTCTGCAGTCTTTGTGCAACACTAAGGCCCTCCGATGCAATTAAAAACATCACATATCATCATGTCATTGGAAACCCAAGTGCCTATCCAAGGGCTATCTCATGCTGCTTTAACTACAGGATTCCATGAATGCAACCAAAGTAAATGTCTTTATCTTATATGCTGGAGTGCTCTTGCTGCATGACAAAAGCCAGGCCTAAACGTTCCAACGTGCCAAAGGAACCAAAGGACTTCATTTTGCACCTCACAGTCCACTCAAACATCCCAGCTCATTGTCGCGGAGATAGCCATCTTTGAGAACACCAAAAAACACGTTGTCAACCTTTGTTATACATATATATATATATATATATGTATTCCTGTTAAACAAAGTTTTGCAACGACCTTTGGACGAAGTACATTCCCCTGTTGCCTCATAGGAGCACCCATAATGCCGAGCAGCAACTTGTCAAATCGCTTTGGCTTTGAGGATGGAGAAGCAAGCTTCTCCTGATTGCATTCAACTGTGCAAGAAAACAAACGGCAGGATCTGTGGTTTCTCTGACGATGTCAACGGCAGGATCAAGCTGAAACACTTGGCCTCTGCTTCTGGAGGATCTGAGGATGTGATTGACTGGGACGAGGCAGCACCCATCTTTGGCTACAGCTCAGCGTGGGACACATGGGGATTTTTTTACGAGCCAAAAACAAATAAATGAACGAGTAAAATCAGCGGTGCCTGCTGTGTTCGTGATATTCAACAATTTCTTGCCATGCCATTATGTCAAGCATCTGCAGAACACTGGAGTGGACACTCTGAAGAAAAATAAGATGATTGCTGTTTCAGGTAAATCAATGTCTGAGAAGCGTTGCTTGGCTCAAGAAAATGCGCGGAATTCGCCAGTCACGAAGCTTCTCAGCAAGGTCCCTTTTGAAGGCATGGATAACAAATAAGCCTGACACCACAGTGTGTAAAACATATTGTGTGAACATCGTGTAATACAGGGAAGTTCCTCGATGTAGGCCTCCTGCAACAGTCAGGATTCTGCCTCTTAGCTGGTCAAACATTAATTCTCTGGATAAAAAGGCCTTCCCTGTGAATCTTGTGAAGGGAGGTCACCTGCTGAGCATTGCTAGGTACAGTATATAAAATCCCCACCCCTAAGGGGGGGGGGACCTGTCTAAATGTAAGCTACGTTTTTTGCAACTTTGGGCTTAAAAAATGTAAGTTACATTTTCTTAGGGACACCTTAAAAAATGTAAGTTACATTTTTTGAATACATGTAAACTACATTTTTTGAGGTTCCGTTTTCTTGACGCCTTTCTGTGTTTTACCTTTTTCCTCTAGACCGTCTTCCTTTTCTTTCTGCTATTTTTAAGGCTGACAGAAGCATGCAGCATGCATGTAAAGTAAATTTTTTACGGTTTCGTTATTGTTATGGTATGATTTGCTATTTTTTCTCAAGCCTTTTGGCAACTCCAAAGCTTGACCTTTTGGTAGCCTTTCCAGGTGGCTTTGGGGAACCTGCCTCCATCCTTCGGAAAAGGAAAGCCATACCAAAATCATATCAAAACTATATCAAAATCATAACAAAACATAAGCGTTACACGTTTCTTATGGTTTTCTTAGGACCCAGCCACCCTGGCCATCTCCTACCTCCACAACCCAACCTAGTTTCAAGCCCTTGAGCCATTCCAAGGCCTTTTGACCTTTTGGTAGCCTTTCCAGGTGGCTTTCAACTTTCCATACTGATTGTTTTTTCCCATGTGCATCCTTAGTTCTGTAGATATTTGTAGCTTCCAGATGTTGCCTTTCAATGTCTAGGTACATACCACCGGTTTAGGGGCGTCCCAAAATGTAGCTTACATTTTTGGAGGTTCCGTTTTCTTAACGCCTTTCCGTGTTTTCCCTTTTTTCCTGCAGACCTTTCTTCCTTCTCTTCTCGTTTTTTATTGTATTTCTTCCCTTCTTCTTAGATACCAGTGGGCCCTAGGGCCATTAACGGCTTCCTGACGAAGCCGCTCATGAGAATCTGTTGCTGCATTCTACTGCTGGTTTCTTTCTTTCAGTTGCCATTTGACCGTAGGGTCTTTGCATGGACACTTTCTTGGCTGCTTTTCCCGGATGCATCTTTAGTTTTGTAGTTTTCATATGGTGCCTTTCAATGTCTAGGTACATACCACCGGTTCAGGGGCATCCCAAAATGTAGCTTACATTTTTGGAGGTTCCGATTTCTTAACGCCTTTCTGAGTTTTCCCCTTTTTCCTCTAGACCTTTCTTCATTCTCTTCCCGTTCTTTTCTGTATTTCTTTCCTTCTTCTTAGATACCAGTGGGCCCAGGGCCATTACCCGCTTC